TGCACTCCAGCCTGGGTAACAAGAGCGAAACTCCGTCCCAAAGGAAAAAAAAAAAAAAAAAAAAAAAAAAGAAATGTGTTGTTAAAGTGATTTCATCATTGTGCTAAGATCATAGAGTGTTCTTACACATACCTATATGGTATATGTATTTATTTGTTTTATCACATAGAAAACCAAGTGTCCCAGCAGCATTACTCACTATCAATCATTTCCCCTACTTCATCTGCAATGCCAGTATCAAATGCCATATAGCAGGTCTCTATATATGTTCCATTATAATCTGATGGGACCACCATCGTCTATGTGGTCCACTGTTGACCATAACGTTGCTATGCCAGTGCATGACTGTAGTTAAATATATAAATGAGGAGAAAATATTCAATGTGAAGGAAAATATAAATGATTGGGGAAAAAAAAGATAAAACAATCAGTATAAACCTGTAAGACAGATTCTATCACAAGAAAATAATAGTATACAACGTATAGAGTACCTACCTACAATGTGCCAGACACTATACTATGAACTTTACATGTATTATTTAATCCTTACAATAAATCTGAAGGAAATGTTTTCATTTCTATTTTAGTAAGGTCATCAAAGGAACTTTACTTGCAAGTGTTAGATGTGGAATTCAAACCCAGATCAGGATAATTCTAAAATCAGCTCAGTCCTGACTAGCTGTTGTGAGCCTGGCAAAAAAATTTTCCAAGCCTATTTTCTCATCGGTTCATCCAAAAATATATATATGTGTATATGCCAAACTTTTTTTTTGGAGACAGAGTCTCACTCTGTCACCCAGGCTGGAGTGCAGTGGCACGATCTCAGCTCACTGCAACCTCCGCCTCCTGGGTTCAAGTTATTCTCCTGCCTCAGCCTCCCGAGTAGCTGGGACTGCAGGCACACGCCACCACACCCAGCTAATTTTTCGTATTTTAGTAGAGACGGGGTTTCACCATGTTGCCCAGGCTGGTCTCAAACTCCTGAGCTCAGGCAATCCACCCGCCTCAGCCTCCCAAAGTGCTAGGATTACAGGTATGAGTCACCATGCCCGACCCACCGAACATTTTTAAATGGGGATAATGATACCTATTTCTAAGTCTGCTGTGGAAATATGTGGTAGTACATATGTAGAACTTAAGTATACAGCAGACACTCAATAAACTGTAGCTATTATTATTAGACATCTATGGGAAGTAAGGAAAGGGGAAGGGTAAAAGAAGACTTCTGGTTTCTGGTGTAAGCCTCAAAGTTTTTCTAAAAGATATCCTTAAGGGGTTAAACTGCCTGTGAGATACTTAAGCAGAAAGACTCTGAAGACAATGGGATATGAAAGGATAGTGCTTAGGAGAGGGATACAAAGAGGTCATTTCAGGCGGTATCAGTATTTAGGTGGTAGGCAAAACCATGGGAGTAGATCCCCAGAGACAGCATGTATGAAAGTAAAAGACAAAGCCGTATAAAATGCCAAATTTTATAAGAGACAGACAAAGAAAGAAAAGCCCACAAAAGGGACTGATGGGGTGGACAAAGGGTAAGAGAAAATCCAAAAGAGAACAGTATCCTAGAAACCAAGCAGGGAAGTGTTTCCAGCAGGAGGAGATGGTTGGCAGCTTCCAGCAATAGCCAAGATACTGACCAAAAAGCATACCCTGAATTCAGCAACTGGAAAGTCATTGAAGACACTGTGAGATAAGTTTCAGTTGTATGGAATAGATAGAAGTCAGTGGTCAATGGATCCAAGAGTAAACAGGAGACTAGGTAGTAGAGATGGAGAGGATAAACTACTCTTTCAAGAAGCTTAGCTATCGAGAGAAGAAAACGGAATCACAGCCAGGACACAGTGTTGAGGAAGCACTGTTTTGCATATGCATGAGGTTAGATGGGTACGTGTTTGGGTTTGGAGTTAATAAGGGAGATATCTGAGCATGTTTCCACTTAGGGAAAAGAGCCAACATGGAGGGAGAGGGAGAAAATATAGCCAGTTAAAAAGACAGAAAATATAGTCAATTAAAAAGAGGTAGAAAATATAGTCAACTAAAAAGATAAATCGGGGGGAAATTCCATAAACAAAAAGAAGGCGATGAGATCAAGGACTCACACGGAAGAATTAGCCACTGACCAGAGAAAAGACACCTCTTCCACTCAGACAGAAGGTCACACAAATGCAGATCTCCTTGGAAGGTAGACATCCTTGAAGAACTTCCTACCTAATGTCTTCTTTTCCCTTTTTGAGAAAGGAATGATGTTACCTGCTGAGGGAGAAGGAGGGCAGGAGATACCTGGGACAGAAGTCTTGGGGAGACAGGTGAAGGTCTGGAACAGTTGTTATAGGAAATAGGAAAGAAGACCGTAGAAGGCCATGTTGAAGGATCACCAGTATCACGACATCTCAGCTCATGTTAGAGAACATGGAATCATAGTGGTTCCAACCTGGACAGTTGTGAAATCTTTTTTAACCAGTGTTGGGTAGCCCCAATACAGAGACATTCACTCTGCTAGCAAGTGGCAGAATCAAAATTGAAACTCAGAAGGCAGAGAGACAGTTCCATTACATTATTCCAGGTTATGGCTTTTAAGCAGGTATGGCAGATGGAGAAGGGGGCAAAGGAGTTTAGGAGTACTAGCCAAAAATAGTTCAAGTGACAGAAAATGAGTTCATTGCAGCTGGGTGCAGTGGCTCAGGCCTGTAATCGCAGCACTTTGGGAAGAGGCCAAGGCGGGTGGATCATAAGGTCAAGAGTTTGAAACCAGCCTGGCCAATATGGTGAAACCCCACCTCTACTAAAAATACAAACCTTAGCCAGGCGTGGTGGCGGGCACCTATAGTCCCAGCTACTTGGGAGGCCAAGGTAGGAGAAATGCCTGAACCCAGAAGGCAAGGATTGCAGTGAGCCAAGATCACGCCACTGCACTCCAGCCTGGCGACAGAGCGAGACTCCATCTCAAAAAAAAAAAGCTGTTCTAGAAAGAAGCTGAGAACATAGAGGTATTTTTTTTTTTTTTTTAACCAAAGAGGCTGTCAGAAAGGTTGGGAGGCAGAAACGGTGACACTGAGTCAAGAGGAAAACACACAAGTTCAAACAGATTCTATAGCATTTTGTTTTCTGGGTCAGTCTGTGTATACTACTTAATTACTGAATGTTCCTGTCTGCCATTACTTACTGCATGAAGTCTTTCCACGAGTTTTTGATCACCAAGGCAATTTTTAGTGTCAAACCAAGAATCAAAGTCCTGTGGAGGGGTGGAAATTCTGCAATAAGTGCACAGCTTTTTAAAATATACCCGATATTCTACAGATTCTTATACAACCAATACGGAAATAATGCATTTAAAAAGTACTTTCAAAAATATTAGCTGTGATGGCTTTTACTTCTGAAAATAGGTAAAATACTAGAGCACAAAATTGGAACCCATTACATAAGAATTCATTAACTTTTTCCTTAAAAGACATTTATTTATTAGGCTTCCCCATACTGTAGTAATATTATATCTAGTTTAAAAAGTAGACGCATATAAAATCAAAGACAGAATGCTAATAAAAATGTTAATTTTCTCAAACAATAAAACAAATAAAAGCAAGATGAAGTATGTAAACCAACTGATGGCTGAACTTGATACTTTTTATTATCAATTAATAATCATAATGGGGTTGGGCACGGTGGCTTACACCTGTAATCTCAGCACTTTGGGAGGCCGAGGTAGGCAGATCACTTGAGGTCAGGAGTTCAAGAACAGCCTGGCAAACATGGCAAAACCCTGTCTCTACTAAAAATACAAAAAAATTAGACAGGAGTGGTGACAGGTGCCTGTAATCCCAGCTACTGGGGAGGCTGAGGCAGGAAAATCACTTTAACCCAGGAGGCGAAGGTTGCAGTGAGCTGAAATTACGCAAAAGAAAAAAAACAAAAAAAAAAGCAAAACACCCTACAAAAAAAAAAAAAAAAAAAATCATCATCATGATAATGGGAAAAATCAAGCACCAAAGTTCTTAAAGCCTTCAATTCATTTTGCTGTCCTAGCATAACTTGTGTTAATGATAAAAAATATATAAATCATATTTACACCATATACTGTCTTTCAAAGCACACACTCTGAGCTCTTTAGCACTCACCAAATGTCAATGCCTACAATAATCAAAGATCATTTTAAAGCTTCCACCTGCCAAACTAGTATAGAGAAATATGTTTCAAACCCCTTCAACTTAATAAAGAGAAAATCTTGAATGCGCTTCTCCGGACTCAGCCTCACATCTTAAGTTTTAGGAGCAATGTGATAAAGGCAAAGTTGAACAGGCAGGTTAATCTCAAAGACAAGAAGCATGCTATTTCTCCAAAGATCCCCATTTGAAAACTTTGTACTAAAGAACTCTTTCCTAAGAAAATCAAAACATGCAGATAAAAAATTACAAATTAAAAAGTACTATAAATTTCAAACTATAGTGTTTTAAAACAGATGTCAGTGAACATAAGAAAGTTATACTTAAAACATATGGCTTAAACTTACATCTGCAGAATTAAAGACATCAGGCAACAAAAAGTTGAGTAAGGCCCACAGTTCATGCAGGTTATTCTGCAAAGGTGTTCCAGTTAAAAGCAAGCGGTTAGTTGACTTGAACTCACGAACAATCTCTGAAAGCTAGAAAAACAATACTCATATGAGGATTATTTTACTTATTAGAATGTTCAACATTCAGTTATTCTGTAATTTACCCAACCAGTACATTTTTTACTACTATATAACCTGAAAATTTTCTATGGAAAAATACCCTAGATCAGGTGACAATGCTGCAGTGAGGCAAAACTGAACAAAATATTCTAAGTATTTCTATACTTAAAAGAATGCAAGCCTGGCACAGCGGTTCAGCCTTGTGATCCCAGCACTTTGAGAGGCCAAGGTGGGTGGATCACCTGAGGCCAGGAGTTCAAGACTGGCCAGGCCAATATGGCGAAACCCCGTCTCTACTAAAAATACAAACAAATTAGCTGGGCGTGTTGGTGCATGCCTGTAATTCTAGCTACTCAGAAGACTGAGGCAGGAGAATTGCTTGAACCCGGGAGGCAGAGGTTGCAGTGAGTCAAGATTGCACCACTGCACTCCAGCCTGGGCGACAGAGTAAGACTCCGTCTCAA